TGTGAGTTCGAAGCTCTAGCCTGGTCTACATAGCGAGTTCCAGGCCAGCTGGGGCTACAGGGAAACCCTATCTCAAAAATATTTTTAAAATGTGTATATTCTGGGGCTGGAGACATGGCTCAGTGATTAACAGTACTAGCTGCTTTTGCAGAGAACCCAGGTTCAATTCCCAGCACCCACATGGTAGCTAACAACCATCCATAACTCCAGTTCTAGGAGATCCGACACCCTCTTATGACCCATGGGCAATGCACGACATGGGTGAACTTACACACATGCAAGCAATACACTCATACATGCAAAATAAAAATAATAAATATTTTTTAAATGTGTATATTCTTTTTAAAAATATTTTACTTTATTATTTTTATTTTATGTGTGTGCATGTATTGCCTGCATGTAGATAAGTGCACCCGTGTCATGCAATGCCCGCGAAGGACAGAAGAGGCTGTCAGATCCCCTGGGACTGAAGTTATGGACAGTTGTTGGCTGCCGTGTTGGTGCACCTGTGTTGTGCAGTGACTGCAGAGAACAGAAAAGGCTGTCGGATCTCCTGGAACTAGAGTTACAGACAGCTGTTAGCTGCCATGTGGGTGCTGGGATTCGAACCCAGGTTTTCTGCAGGAACAATCAGTGTTCTTAACTGCTGAGTCATCTCTCCAGCCCTAAAATGTGTATATTCTAACTCTTATTTGGTTGATACTTTGGATGGGTATAAAGCCTATGTTGATAGAAATTTTCTTCAAAATTCACAAAATGTTTTTGACTTCTAGTGTTGTTGTTGAGAAATTCAAAGCCTTTCTAGCATCTAATACCTTGTATATTGTTTGTTTTTGCTTCATTTTTACATTTTGAAATAGTATCTGTATAGCTGAGGATGACCTTGAATTTGATCATCCAGCTGCTATCTCTCAAGTGCTGGATTCACAAGTGTGTGTGTCATCACATGGGCTCAAAAATGACTCAGCCAGTAAAGGCGTTTTCTGTGCGCAAGCCTGGTGACCTGAGCTTGATCCCTGGAGTCCACATAAAATTGAAAGGAGAGAACGGACTCCACAACATTGTCCACTGACTTCCATGTGTGTACTGAAGTACGTGCACTCACAGATACACCATACATCATGCACACTTACACATGAAATAATAAAGAAATAAAATAAGATAATAAAAACATAAGTACATGCCACCACATCTGACTCTTCAAGTTATCTTTTGTGTTTGTCTATTTGTTTAGACAAAGTCTCATTCTGTAGCCTAGCTCAGGCTGCCCTTCTGCCTGAGCCTCCAAAAATGCTGGAATTACAGGTGTGAGCCACTGTACTCCACTGACTGAGTCCACCTCCCCCCCTTTCTTTCCCTTTCCTCTTTGTTTTGGCTTTCTCTTCTGTGTTAGAAGAGCTTCTGAACATGTGATCTTTGATCACAATTAAGGTTGGAAGGTGGTGGTGGTGAGGCATTGGTCAAAACTCTGAGCTCACAATTGAATTTGGTACTACAGGGTGATCCAGCTGGGCTGTCTTTAAAGAACCCCATGTCATGTTCTTGAGTCTTTTTTCTTGGGCTGGTAAAATGCCCCAAGACAGAGCTTTCCAGTCTGTAGCCGGGAGAGCCGGGAGTCCTGCTGTCAGCACTCTGTAGGCCTGGCTGTGGGAGAAAGCTCAAGATCTCTGCATTCGGCATCCATGGAATCATAGCCATTTAATCTCAGATGTGCCGGAAGCTCCACCAGTCTATCTTAACTTCTTTCAGAAGAAAAGTCTGAAGACCTGGTAATGGGAAGTGCTGCTTCCTGATGGTTTAGAGTTAGGGACGAGACCTAGGGAGCTAACTGCATTTTGCCAGGGTCTTTCCTTAGCCTCCACTTCCATCATTCTAGAGGTACTTGGACTGCCAGTTTCTGAGAACTGTGTGTTGTAAATCAAGTTGACTCTCAGTTCCCCCTCAGCTAGTAGAGATGTCTTTTTTCTCAGGGTTGATGAGTCAGTTAACAGCATAACTACCTCAAAAACCCTGCTGCTTTGTTTCCTTTCCTGATCTCTATCCTTGTTATCACTTGATATTTAAATTTTCTTATTAAAATTTTAGTGGGGTTTTGGGAGGGAGCAAAATTAGATGTATACATTCAGTCACCATCTTAACTGAGAACCCTAAGTTCCCTCTTCAATATCTTTGTAAAAATATAATTCCCAGGAATAACCCTATTTGGTTATGGAGGACTGCTATTTTCATGTACTGGGTTATGTTTATTTCTGTCGTTCTATTTAGAAGTCTTTAAGTGAACATGATTAGCAGGAAATTAGCCTCTCTATGAGGAATATTTAAAGAAAATGTCTCCAGTGGGATAACTTTTATTAAATATATGAAGGAAAATCAGAGACTGAAATCCCAGTCTGCTGCCTCCAGGCAGCCCTTAGTGAACTGGGGCAGGGGAGGAAAAAAGAATTGCAACTCCCCTCAGGGACACCTAGGGCTTGTCTTTCTTAATGTTTTGTTTGGAGATTTAGGATAAATCCCAGAGTTCATCACTGGCTGATCCAAGAGTGTGGTTGGTGGCCTGATTTGATCTTGTATCCATTGATGGGAGGAGTTCTATGATCAGTAAATGAATCTCAGATGCTTTTCTGAAATGCAACACATCCCCCATGCCTCCCTTGGCCAAAATCTATGCTAGCTCTGTTTTCTGGGGCAAGACCAGGTAGTTGTTTATTTGTTTGTTAAGAGTGGGTCTCAGGTGGCCCAGGTTGGCTTTGAACTCTCGGTATAGCTGAGGCTGGCCTTGAACATCAATCATTTTGCTGTCATCCCCCTCCATACCCAGCAGGACAAGTTTTGTGGTTTTGTCTGTCTGTTTGATAGGTTGGTTTGGTTTTTTGAGACAGAGTCCCATTATATTAATCTGGCTGACAATCCTCCTGCCTCTGCCTCCCAAGTGCTGGGAGTATAGGCATTTGCTGCCATATCTGGCTTTTTGTCTGTTTGGTTGTGTGTGTGTATGTGTTGTGTGAGTGTGTGTGTGTGTAGTCTGATTTGGTCTTGAACTTGGGATCACCCCGATCCCAGCAGCTAGGATCACTTAATGTGTACGCAACTTCTCCCTGCTGCTAGGCAATTCCATAAACAGTCCCACTCTACCTACCTCACAGAGCAGAAGTGGGGAGTAAACAGAAAAGAAGTTTGGGATCACACCCAGGGTTGTAATGCCCACAGTACTTTTTCTCTCTGTGGCTTATGATGAGTGACAAGCAAAGAGACATTTAAAAAAAGGTTCATATTTTTAAACATTTCAATTATGAGTATATGGGGCTATGTGCATGTGAGTGCAGGTGCCCAAGGAGTTCAAGAGTTCAGAAGAGGGCGTCAGATTCCCGGAGCGGGAGGTACAGGCAGCTGTGAGCAGCTCAACATGGGAACTAAATTCTGGTCCTCTGTTAAGAGCAGTATCTGCTCTTAGCCAGTGAGCTATCTCCTCAGCCTCAAATAATGAGACTCTTAGCTGCGCATTAGGAATGATGTTTGGAGCTGGAGGGGAAGCTTTGAATGGTATAGGGAGCCTCTGGTGTTTTGTATTCTTTTAAAAAAGAGTCTCCTGTAGCCCAGGTTGGCCTTGAACTCTCTATGCAGCTGAGGATGACCTTGAACTTCTAATTCTTCTACCTCAGTCTCCCAAGTGCTAGGATTACAGGCATGTGTTCAGCTTCTTGATACTGTTAAATATAGCATTTTGGAAGAAAATGTGAAGGGATTTAAACTCCAGACAACTCCTTCAGCCACCCACTGCTATAGCCTTAGGATGGTGCAACAGCCTTAGTGACTGCTCTTAGTCCTAGTGATGGGATAGAGGCTTCCAGGGTTCTCTTAATTCTCACAAGGCTGGATGCTCTTTCTTTGATTTTACATTCTCCTCCCATGTCTCACTGGGAAACAAGTTGTAACTCACCTGGCACTCATTAGTCTTTCCCACAAACATTTCTGAAACAGGATTTTGGAGAGTTGTTTTTTTTTTTTTTTTTTTTTTTTTTTTTTTATTTTTGCCTAGAAACCTAGTGGGAAATGACCTATTCTTACATGTTTAGTAACTGATTTCCTTCCTTCCTTCCTTCCTTCCTTCCTTCCTTCCTTCCT